TGCACCCTATCCATGATGTGGATTAAATCATAACCACTTCACGCTGTTAAGGATTTTACAATGGATTACCCATAGGAATGGTAGCTTAACCAGCATGAAAGTTTTGCTGGAGGTTTTATATCATGACATATAGATAAAAAGGAAAAACTTTTCATGTTGCGTTCTACCACCTCTATCAAAAGTTAAAATCTCTTCTTAAAGAAATGCTTTCTAAAATTGCAACTATGAACTGGGAAAAAAAAATTCCAAAAGCCTGCATTTGGCTATATCCCCTCTTCTTTTGTCAGCTGTCTTCCTGAAGCAAGCAAAAATATTACCTACAAAAAAGAACTTAATCATTTCATATAATACCTGGCAAGTTTATGGAAAAACAACTTACTTTGCAGCAAACTTTTTGTGTTTTCTAAAAGCATTTCCAAGCACCAGCCTGCAAAAGGTATTCATATCTTAAGGAAAGCTAAGAAGAACATATGAAAATTTCCCTTTTCTTCAGATGAGTAAGCCTCTCCAGAGCCTGTGACTGGCACTATCAATAATATATTCCTGGACTGACTTTTTTTTTAAGACAACTCTGAAATACTGCTCCAGTGTCTTGATTCCTAAACACACACCCACAAAAATTAGTCCAGCAAGATGACATTAGTCTCTTCTCACTGACCAAATGCTTTGTAATAAGCAGATTGGCGGAGATGACTTAATTCAGACACACTGAGTAACTGAATAATTAAATCAAATAGAAGAGCTAATAAAGAGTGCATAGAGACTGCACAGACAACATTATTTAGGGAATGGAGAAAGTAAATGGAAAGAGAATACTAGTAAGGCTTAAATGTGCCTTGATTCAGTATTCTGATTTGTTAAACATTTTCTCATCATTTTATGCCCTAATAAGTTTCCATTGACTAACATGACCTAAAGCTACAGAGAAAGCTAGCTCAGTGCAGGGTTTCCTGAGATGCATCTCCACCAAGCTGCTGCAACTAAGTATCAGTTGAAATAATCCAGAAAATGGAAGCATACATACCATAGCAAATTTTTTTTAGACTAGTCTTTGGGTATAGTAACAACTAAGCCACTTTGAACACCATGCTGTTTCAAAATAAACTAATCCTATTTCAAATTCTAATAATAAGTGAATTTTACAATGTGTTAAAAACAGGAGTGACATACTGTGAAATTAGTTGAGAAATGCAGCACTGAATATAAAAAATGTACTTTGTTACCCACATTCAACTGTCACTTAAACCTCAGGTTTTACCAGGAGGTAAAACTATACCATATATTCACTGTAAACAAAAGATGACCAAGATAAACCAAAAATAATCTGGCACCACATATTAATACATAATCCAATACAAGTTAAAACCAAAAGTTAATGTTCAATGTGAACAGTGAAGCCTGACATCCTGTTGTCTCCTCTTTCCTTCAGCCAAGAAGAGACACTCCCTTAAATGTCAGTGAAATTATGTGAATGATCAGTGGGAGCACAGCCCCTGAAGTCCAGTAAGAAATATAGTCTTAATTATGGGTCAGCTCTTCTCAGCTGCTTAATTTCATGTATTCCTAATTGCAACAAGACACAAGGATCAAGACAACTACCTCTGTCTATTGCAGTACAATCTAGAAGTTAACACAGTTGTATGGCAATAGTGAAAACTTGACTTTTGACTGCCAACAAGAGCAAGAATCAATTAGTGAAACTTCTGGTAACAGACAGAAAAAAGTACCTTACCCCTAAGACCACCCATTTGTTTTGTTACCTACTGCTACAATGCACAATGATAATATAGCTGAAAGGCTCCACTTCGATTTTCACTAAAGCCAGACAGATCAGAAATAGTAAGGACAAGAGGTTGCTATGAGTTAAAGGCTATCAATGCAACTGCTTCTACTCTTCAACTCATGGAGATTCAGGGCACTGCCAAGTAAGTGAATGAAGCAGAAGAGTAAATGTAATTTCAGGAATAGGTAGCTTCAAATTTTTGCTTTGGCAATTGCAAAGCAGCAGGCTGTCAAGTCCAATTCAAGTGAGAAGCAAGCTTTACTATTAGGAAAAACAACTCTTTAGTACATAAAGACAATTTTTGTGTGCGTCTGCATTTGTAAATGTAAACTCAAGATAAATCTATGCCTATTTCAAGACCAAAGGCATGAAGATTAATGTTCACTCCAAGAGAAACAATCAAGGATATGAGGGAAAAAAAGTACCATAACATGCTGCAAAAGATTCAAAATCTACATTCCTGGGCAAATAGAGCTAAATTTTTGTTTTTCCATACATATGCATATGTGCATATACATATGTGTATGGATTTAATAAATACAAATAAAAATTATATATTATACAAACACGTGTACACATACACTCTACAGATCTCAAAATAAGCAGCACGGGCACATAATTAAGGGGTCCCCAGGGCTCATAAAGAAAGTGCAACGACCTTGTTAGTGTTTGGCCTTTCTTTCGCACCCAGTCTCATTGTAAAACAGTCAACCATGAAAGTACTTTAAAAAGCTGGTTTTCTTTTTATTTACAGCATGATTTTATAATGTACCATTCATGTTTTATAGAAGCTGGTACTTCTGTATATCTTTCTGCCAAATTCAACATGAACCACAAACTTTCTAATTTACAACTTTCAGAAATTTGAATGCTTTTGAATACCAGGATTTTCAACTTTGCAATTTAATGACAACCCTGCCTTTGGCCTTTCCTGACCTGTTGTGAAGTAAATCAGGCACACTAATGTGGGCTAACAAGTCTTTTTCACACTGTTCGATCACCCTGCATCTTTTTTCTCAGCAGACACCGCCTCTCTCCCACTCTCTGTCTAGCCATCCTCCCTCAAAGCAAACAAAATGGTCACTGTAACCCTGCATTACTGCTCATTAGATCACAGGTTAGTCAAGTGGAACTGCCCGAGGTTCCCAAAGGAGAGCTATACTTCAAAAATCTGTCCATGTCAAATGAAGAAAAAACCCCTGAGCGTGGGGTCACCCAGATCAATGATCAAAAGAGACTGAGAATAGGGGAGAGAAAAAAAGGGAAAAAAAAAAAAAAAAAAAAAAAAAGAAGAGAGAAAAACGAGAAAAACAAGAAGGAAAAAAAGCCCTTTTTTTGTAAAAAAACAGCCTTCTGTATAATAAATCAGAATACAAAAATACTAAGCTTCCCCCCCTCCTTTAACAACAGTCAATTTTGGCTTTAAAATGTTTTGAGGGTTTTTTTCAGAAGATTTTATAAGAGTAGGAGTATTTCTAAAGTGTTAAGACTGAGGTGTCAATAAAACTCAAATTTACTTTAAGAAAATTAGCAAGAGGAATAATACCAGAAGATAATAGATTTTCTCTCCATCACACAAATACTTAGCTACTCCAAAATGAGTCAACATCAATTTTCATTCAATTATAACTTTAATAATAATTAATAACAATAACAAAAAATATATTAATAGTATAAAACAACTATATTATTAATAACAAATATCTTATTATTATAAAACAAATATAATCATAATAATAGTAACAACAAATAATACATAATAATACAACTTCAAGAGAAATAATACAAGTAGCATGTCCACAAAAAAAGGTAATCAAGCAAAACTACATAGTCTGAACTCTTCTGGTACATGACAGATGTGCAGGCACGTGCAATACTTCAAGAATGTGCAGTACCATTTCTGCAGCCTCTGTTCATCTTTTAAGTACCTAGGGCAATTTTTTAGTAACAACTACAAAAACAAAAAAGCCCAAACTGAATTAAGAAAAAAAAAATTAAAAATACAGTAATAATTTTAAGTAATAAATTCTGATTCAAAGAACAGAGCAAATTACTTAATGAAGAATTTAATAGAATTTCTTAATGAAGACTGTTTAATAAGGTTCTGTGCAAACACAGATTATAGATATCACATGCATTAATACTGCTTAACTTCAAAATGAGTTATGTATTTCTAAAACAACAAATACACACGGTGCCACTAATGAAGATGCTGTTGCAGCTAACAGGACCTGATTGTTTCCTGCAATATTAGTGACAGAGCATCTTTTTGTTTACAGCTCTGAAAAGATTTCTTCTCCTGCCTTAAAGAGTGACTCAAATTTCACTCTCTTACTCCCTTTATCCTCAGCCATGAGTAAAGGCGTAATTAGCAGCAAGGAGCAAAGGTAAACAAATTGGAAGAGAATATCTGTAGTAGATTTGTAGTTAATATATGGCCTGCTGTAAAAGCATTACTGCAACAGAACAAAGCTATAAGAAATCAAAGGAAAGAAATCCTTTAAGTACTTAAATGTTTCATATAATGTACCAAACAATTTCCTAGCATTTATTACCAGAGAACAATAAAAACCAAAATGGGAATGTAAATGCTGTGATAATACATTATGATAAAATACTGAAAAAAAAAATTACAGAAAAGCTTGTATTAACAGAGAGTTAGATGGAACTACTTATTTTTAAATAAATAATGTAATTGTAGCAAATATATAACAGTATATGCAGTAATCCCAATTATCCACCTCTGGAGATATGTGTGGATAAAATCAACAGTCTTTTAAGCAAAGTTCATTCACTAATGCAGGTTGGGCTTTTTGTTGGGTTTTTTTTATCTGTTTGCTAGATGCCTCCCACATCTATTAATAGGCAATAGACGCCTAGTAATACTTGAAATGGAATTCCAGCATACATTAACTTTAAAGATGCCTATACATTAATACTGAGTCTTAACTTTTAAGACAGTATTAATACAGCACAGACCTTCTGATCCTTGCAACTTTATATCAAATCAGAATCTGAACAAATAAATATAACAAAAAAGACCAGAAAAAGCAAAGATATTGAGAAATATGTTGTCATAGCTATGGATTATTCAATACACTGACAACACTCTGTTTTTGAAAACAGTAGGGAAAAATAATATAAGGATGATGTGTGTAAATCTGAATAATAAAAAAACAAATTTTCAAGTAAAAAATTTGTTAAATTTGCCCTTTTTTTAATAAATTATCTAGTTAATTTGTTTCATTCTTCACAAAGTTCTTTTCTAGACTAACTCAAAATTTCAGGCTGTTCAGATTCTAACAGAAGTTACTGTTTCATGTCTGACTGCTGTAATAGATTTTCTAAACATTTAAACTATTTTGAGAAAACATTTATTCTTATAAAGATTCCAGCATGACTAATGATATGCTGCAGTATCAACAAATCATCATTAGAATAATGTCGTTATATTTAAAACCCTGCTTCTAGTCTTATGAAGACGATTGTTCCCAGATGCTAGAGTGGATAATTCATGTTTCTTCAGAAGCATGTCGGCATCTGGTGCTGAATCACTGCAAGAAGCGGATGGGAAAAAGGTTTCCTCTTTTTGAACCAAATGTCATTATGCACTGAACAGAAGTGGTTTCTGAGGAAATAATGGACACTGTTCTCAGCCTATATTGCTATAGAAGAAGGCCTTCAATGGCTCCAATTTTCTTTAAGTAAAAACTCATAGTACTGCATCCTCATCATCCTTGAACTGTGGGGCCCTTCACTACTTCTGAATTTTCAGAACTCCATTCCATTCTTCAGTTTTGTTTGAACCTCAGAATGCTCTCTACTCAGCTCATCTGCTTTACTGACAGAAAAGTCTTGGGAAGTTAGAGAAAGAAGTGCATGAGACTTGTTGGCAATCCCCTCCCCTTCCTCCTGTTACTCCTCTCTAGCTCATTCCATTTGCAAAAGCAGCAGTGTCCTGTCCAGCAATCAAGCTCAAAACAATCTTTGATTTTTATCTTCCACCACCCAGAGAGCATCCAAGATTTTTCCAGGAGCAAAATGGCTTGAAAGAATCCCAGGGTAAAAAAAAAAATTAGTTCAAAACTGAGAATGGATAGGAAGTAATTAAATCACACCTTACAGTAGTGTTTCCTTCCTGGCCTTTGACAATTGTAGCATTGTTTCAGTAACATCCAGGACACTGATGCAAAGATGATCCTTTCCCCATCCTGTCACTTGGGAAGGCATCTTTGTTTCATGAATTCTTACATGCCAGCATTTCCATCTCCAGAGGTTTATGGTTTGTTTTCACTCATAGGACTTTTACGCTAAAACATCTAAAGAAAATCAACCTCGGATGGGCCAGTGATACCTCAATTTTCAGGTTAGCTTTCCCTCATGCTGCAGCTCATATTCAAGGGAAATTCTGCCCAGGAATCTTCAGAAATGTCGAGTTTGATAAGGAACAGAAAGCCTCTAGCGCTCAGGCTAAGCTCTGAACACCTTCTATTTGATGCAGGTTTTAAGAAACTGCATGCACATATTACCAGCAAGGTCTTCAGGGCATTGGTAATTACGGACAATAATAACATGTGCTGTGTCACAGCACAGGTAGCACTCGTGCAGCTGAAAATTTTCTACTTTTGTGGAACATAATTAAAATCTAATTTGAAATACTTACATAGATATAAAATGGATAGATTTTTCTCCTGCTGTGGTTATTGCTGAACTTCCCTGACATGACCAATAAACAAGCTCATCATGATTTCCCATGAGAGTAAGTGTCTAATTCCTGCAGAATGGACTGTGGCCAGAAATTAATTTCATACACTGCATACCTACTGTAATGGAATAAAGATTATGTGATCATAATCAACTTGAAAAACCCTTCTACAATTTACTTTTTTTATATTGAGTACCAAATATAAATTATGCAGTTCAACTACAGAATATGATTTTTCCTTGCTAAATACAAGGTTCACAGTATATTTAACTTGCCTTTTATCAGAAAACTTATTTTAGCATTGAAAAGAAAAACAGAAGGATAAGTCCTCAGCTTTTAAAAACCAGCAGCTTGTATTATTGAACTCAAGATTTCATTCTAATACATATCCATACATATATATACATATAAGATGGGTGTTTGAAAGAAAAACACACACTAAATCACTTTTATTGTCAAAGACATTTCACAAACTTTATCCAATTCATTATTAAATACTTTTCCATTCTTTTTCAACTGATCCTGAGACTGTTTTTGCTAAAACAGTAGAGTTATATTTGGAAAGTAGTTATATAGCCACTATTTTGTTCCATTTGTAATAGTTAGTAATTCTGAAAGAAACATCTTCTCTTGTTCATGTAAGATGTCACTAATGGTAATTAAATTTTTGAGCATTCAAGAATTCCCCAGAACAGCAATATCACAGACATAGGGGCTCAAAAGGGTTGCAATGATTGTGTGGTCAGATTTGTATCTAACAGGCCTCAGAATTTCATTTAATTCTCTATTAAAGCACACCAACTTTTTACCAAGCAAAAAGGGTTTCAGAAAGACTGTAAAAAGCTGTGCTCTTCTCTAACAGTCTTTACTGAATACCATATAAACACTTGTAAGCATACAAATATTTATGAAAAATATTTACAAAAATATGCATATAGATTAGTATCTGAAAGCATTTTAAACTTTCTCTAATCAATTTACTTTTTATCTATAGAGACTGTGCTCTGTCTTTACAGTCATTGTGTTTAGTTCTGCAAGTGCAGCCAATTCCTTCTCTTTGAATGACATTTTCTCTCCTTTTTTTGCTTGGAAGTCAACAAAGACACTAAATTTTCAAAGCACATAGTGAAAATAAATGCCTCTTTCCTATCTCCCTCCCAAGTCCAGCAAAAGTAATTGCATGCGTACTACAGAACACTCATTTTTAAGCAAGAGGAAAACATTATTTTCCAGCATTTCCTGTATAATCTTCCTTTACTGTGGGTCACTGCGGGGGGATAAGAAAAAAAAAGTGAGAAGTAATGTGGTAGGCAGAAGGGTCCAACACTCATTGGATGTTATAGTTCCACACCTCCAAGTTTCCACACTAGTTCTAGTTTTACACCTTCTTCCCACCTCTCATTTGTGCCTGTATACCAATTATCCAGTTGTCTTCTCATCTGAGTTTATTTAAAAATAAGACCTTGAGGAAGGATGGTAGTAATTTTTAGATCCAAACCAGTTCATCACATGGTCGTACAATCAGATTGTTACACCTGAAGGATGGGAGAGGCAAAGTAGCCAGCAAGCAAACCAATACTGCTGATGAACACACCATCTACATACATACAAAACAACCATTTCATGACCCAAATAGTGCTGTAAAAATCCATGTCTGATGTTCAAAACTATATACGGCAATATTCTTCAAAATCTACCCCAAGACATGCAGCTGCTTTTTTTGCAGAAGTGTACCTGGCAGCATTCACTAGAAAGGGCCATTCAAGAGATTTATTTCTCTAAATACAGCTTCATATTGCGAAATCAGTGTATGTGGACAGTACTTCTAATCGTGTGTCTTAGCTGTTCTACTCTTTATCTCCTTGTACATTGTGTAATATATGCATATTTGCAGGTGTGCTCAAGCGTTTGTTTTGATATCTTCAGGAACACCATTCCAAATCAGAGTTTCTAGGGGCAGTCTTTGAATTCATTTCCTTGCAGATTTACATATTTGTCAAGAGCACAGCTAGAAATTTGCTATTCAGAGAGATACTTTTCTTTGTTAAGGTTTTGCCTCTTTGTCCCACATACATTGGGACAGCAATATTAAGCTGTACTAAGTTATTATTCACCAAAACATTACCAACTATACTAATTCATCTTTTTATCTAATGAATATATTGATGATTTTATCTGTTATGACTTTGTTTACTTTAAAACTTGATTGAAACACAAATTCATGTAAAGGGAAGGTGTAGTTACTGTTTGGATTCAGCATTGCAAATGTACAAAATTCTTTGTAGTTCACATTTAACTAGGATATGGATCTACTCACTTTTATTTAAATTGCTTATCTTTTTAGATTGCATTTTTAATATATTATTTTTATTATAAGACCCTTTTATATTTAAATAATTTTCTTAACAGGTACGAATAAATTTTTAATCAGAATGGAAGTTTATATAAGAAATGCAAATAGGAGGTTCTTCTGCATTGTTCTAAACAGGGCAAAACTATTATTGTCTAAACACCAGTTTAATAATAGTCTCCTCTCCTGCAAATGTATTCATAACTGAAGTCTGACAAATAATACTTCTGTTCCCTCAAAGGCCACAGTTGTGAAGGAAGCAGCCAATACTCAAAATAGCAGAGTCCAGCTCCAAAACAATCTTCAAATATCAGGGGACACACCTTGGACAGTAAGAAGTATTTGCAGTGAGGGGATTGCAAATATTAAGGTCACTAAGGTCACTATGATCTCAAAAACAGGCTAGGAATCTATATTTTGGCTATTTACTGCAGTAATCTGAAGATAAATCATCTCAGAAACAGTTCCTTGAGGAACCAAAAATCTGTCCCCGATTTAACTTTGCTCTGGATGTCCCTGTCACAAAGTACACATATTTGCAACAGCTGGTCTTTGAAAACTCAGATTTGAGAGGCTTGACTAGGGTGAGGACGGGGCAGACTGCAGAGAAAACTTTCATTTTCACTCCTTGTTGTAGGCTAGGTTTTTGCAGTACCAGCTCCTAGAGAAAACATTTGCTCAAAACTATAAGCTAAGATACTACACACTCTCTGAGGCTAAACCTCTTTAGGCGTCACTGCTCCATGCAGGTTTTCAGATTGCTAGAGATGAAATGACATCTATAACTCATACACTGAAAGGGTTTCCAAAGAGAAACAATTTTCCCCTAACTAGCAGAAACCACAAACAGCATGAATTATGGAAAAACAGTACAAAGACACTGGAATACAGAGAAGTGATTACACCCTGGAGTTGAGCCTGTCATACGCAGCCAACTCAGGTCCTGAAAGCCCAGTTTGCAGTGCGCTCCAGATCCCCACCACCAGTAAGAGCCTCCACAGCTGCTGGCAAACCTGAGCATTCTCCTGAAAAGGTTATTTAGCTTTAAGATATTTAAGCCTTCAAGAAGACACTGTTTATTTACAAAATTATTTCTAGACAGAAACAACAGAGAAGAAAATGGCAGAGTGAGAGGTAACAGCCCTCACAGCCCTAAGATGGCTCTTTTCATAAGGACAGTCACCTTCCACTAATCTGCTAGCAGAAAACCAAATTAAACATAGTGATTCAGAATCCATGTATTCTCAACTAGATAAATGTATCACAATCTATGTTAATATGCAACAAACCTTTCAAACTCACTTTTGAAAATATTGGTTTTGCACTTAAAAGATTTTTTTTAAATCTTGCTCTATCAAAGGAAAAAAGGAAAATCAAAATGATTCTCCTATGGAGTTTGACACCTTCATGAATTCAACTTTAAAGTAAGGTCTTGTATGCAAGAAAAAAAAAAAAAACAACCAGCACTTGTGATCAGAGCAAGTTTACTACATTATTCTTTTCCTGACAACTATATTTAAACCAACAGCACAGTCTTCAAATTGACTGTTAATAGGTTGATTTTACTGTTAACTAGTAAGTCTACATTAAAAAGTTTTAGCATTTTTTAAAATGGGAATTTAGAATAGATCTTTTGTGATTTCTTCTGTTATTAGAAGTCACAAATTTAAATATACGAAAGAAATTTATTAGTTGAATTTTTTGATAACTCAAGAAAAACCTACAACCAGGTTATGCTCTATGAATTTCTTCACATATATGGTCTCGGAATAAAATAGTTCAAATGGAGTGGACCTACAATGATCATGTAATGCACCTACAACTTTATAAATAGCCCTAAATATAAAAATAGAAACATCCCTAAGTCAGCACATTGCCAAACAAGTAGCTGCTTCACCAGTGAACTAGAAAAATTAATTCAACTTGGTTCCTCCTTTGGCCAGTCCTTTATGGCTTCAAGGAGTCCTGAACAGATTCAGATGAGCATCCAGAATAGCCTGCCCCTAAAATATAAATGCTACAGACAACTTCCAACACATGCAGCTCTTGAATATTGCTCTGACCTGGCAGAAAAGTGGCTCTTTGCACACTGGTTCAACTCACAAGAATCCACTGCAATATCCAGCTTTTGATGCTCATACACAAAGTCAAGACATCCCAAAACAAAAATTAAAAAGTTGATAATCACAGTAATGCCTGTTCCCTTTTAAAGCAATTTGAAGCACTTTTATTACCATTACTCTCCTGCAATATTTTAAGTCAGTGAGACAAATCTGATTAATCAAAACCAGTTTCAATAATCAAAAGTACTTTTGTGTGGAAATGCAAAAGCACATTCTGTCAGGAGGAAACTTACTTAAAAAAACATATAATTAGGTAAACTGTTTTGGAACTGCACCCTGTATTTTGGAAGGCATGGCCAAACTGATATGCCACCATCTTCCCTCACATGCTGAGTAACTACATTTATTTTTCATTTGTAAAAGTTTTTATTTGCTGTTTCATAAGGTTTCCAAAACAACAGTTAGAACTGACTTATATATGATTAATTCTTCATTACTGCAATTTTAGTCTAAAATAGGGTTATTCTGGAGCAAACCTATTGAAACAAAAACAATTCTATCAGTTTTACAGCCTGGATAATAATGCAATCTTTATTTCAGCATGGCTCAGTTGAAATCACTTAGCAGATATTTGAAAACATGTCAATAAGTGCTATTGTCACAGGAAAACCAAAACAAATTACAAATATCTTTGACATGGGAAGATAAAATAATCACCATAGAAGTCTACATAAAAGAAATATGAGAGACATCTTCATTTATAGTTTCTACAATGAAATTCCATGACAAGTTTACTTTTTTGATTTAATTTTAAAATCAAAATCTAACTAGGAAACAGCTAGCCAGCAATAGAACTGAGGAAAAAAAAATAATTACATTTACTGATTAGTATTTCAGCTCAGTTTCCCCTGCAATTTTCCCTGGTCACTTCAGTAATATGAAGTATACACTATAATATGAATTAGGTTAAATTGCATTTCATAAATTAAATAAATTATTTGGATATTTTTTCAAGCATTTATTATAGCTGTGAACTGAACTAATCATGACATTGCTTATTACATGCAGCACGTAGATTCTACGTGCTAGATTCTAGATTCTATAATTTGTACCTAAGTAATGCATGGAAAAAAACACGTTAAATAAGTACAACATTTTGAAAAACTGAAGCAACTGCACTTCCCAACAAAAAATATAACTAACATCTGTTGCAGAAACTGCTTGGCACTTGCACAGTTTTGTAAAGAATTTTTGTTGTAGATAAATATTTTTCTACATTTCCCATTATGCACCACTCAACTCAGACATTTTCCTTAATTATACTCCAAGGAGTCCTTTCATATCCATTAAAGAAAAGCAATTTGTTGCCTAAAAGAATGCATACAAATTTTTAAATTTCAACTGTGATTAATGTGTCTTCTGACACATGAAAAAATTAAGAAAATACCTATAATTAATGGACTTAGTTCCTCAAAACTCTCTAATAAGACTCTCAATGCTCAACATATTACATTTGCTACATATTTTAATATGTTGGTTTTATATAAGCAATGGTCTTACGATTCATCATTTTGTTTCTATTCCACATCTCAATAATGAGGACAATACCACTGGAAAGCCTTTAGGAAAGCAAGAAATTACCATTTCAACACTGGTAAAAATGACCAAAGAAGGCTTCTATTTTGCATATACAGCAAACACAGATAATCAGTTTTTTCAGGGACAATGTAACAACTTCATGACATTCTTTTCTCTCTCTCTTTTTTTTTTCCTTTTCCTTTTGTTTTTTCCTTTTTTCTTTAATTTGCTTTCCACTAGTCTTAATTAAAAAACTTCAAAATTCACTGAGCTCTTGATACAGTGTGGGTTTTTTTCCTGAAAATATGCATGTGCTGTGCATATTTAATAAAACTTTTGTATTCTGCATGTCATACACACTCACATTAGCAATCAAGACTTGTCTTGTTGCAATAATAAACTCTAAGATATTTTTTTTTAGAAAGCACACAATATAAACCCATTTAAATGCTATTGTAAGCATATAGAGATCTACTACCCTACTGAGATTTCAAGCAACTGGTAATGAAGAATGAGGTGAAAACAAGGGTACTGCCAATAAAAGAAAATAAATGCTAACTCTAAATACACAAAAAATGCAGTTCAGGCCCAAAAGTCTACCCACATGGGCTCAGCTGCAAAATGAGAGAGTTACAAGTATAATTTGCTGTAAAGCAAACCAACTGGCATTGCATTTATTATTAATATGAAACTGAACAAAGAACATTTCAAAAATTCTATCAGCTATCAAAAGCTTCATTTAATATTGAAGCAAATTTGACCACTTTAAAAATGAAAAATATAGTAAAATAAGAAATACTTAAATCATGTAAGAAACAGCCCTTCTATTGATGAAAAATGTGATCTATGAAATTTCTCTGATCTGTGAATTGCCCCATGAAAACGTTAAAGCCAAGGCACAAAGACTACATTTGGATGATGAAATCAAACCAGTTTTGTCTCAGGGTACTGTAATTTTTTAAGTGTGAAGTTTAGGACTGCATGCTTTGTTTTTATGCTGTATAATAAACTAGGCCAAATTATTAAACTTACATATCAAAATCCATATTACATTTCCTTCAAATATTCATTATTTCTAAGTCTGGTTTTTTTTATATGAACAAGATCTAGAACTTGTAGCTTCTATCCCTGCATAATTTTTGTTTACTTTTTTATGTAACTTGGTATATTAAATCCAAATTCCATTTTTTTTTCCTTTTTCCTAAGAATGAGTTCTCAGAGAAGAGGACCAATAATTTTAAAGAATACTTTACACAGTGTAGTTTACATAGCTGTCACAATCTCTTCCTAAAAACACTGTTATGCTCCAGCCACATTTATACCACTTCCTAACATAAAATAAGCTTAATTTCTTTTGACTCAGGAGACATAAGTAGCAATAAAGAAGTAAAGGCTGTACGTTCAACTACACTGTACTAAGAGCAGTTCTCCTACAGATCAGTTTGCTCTGAGATGAAAGTCTAAAACCTCATGTTTCAGAAAAAGAAAATCGAAGAAAGAATCAGTTTAAATATAAAGCAGCAATACAGTAAGGTGCTGAACAGTTCTCACTCTGCTGCACACACAGAACAAACAGATTTCACACATAATCTTTAAGAGGAGGAGTCCTTTAAATGACATTTATGAACAGAATGACACAATCAGATTTTAACTTCTTCCTACAATTTCATAAGTAATTTTCAACATTTCCTTAAATGTATTTGACATGATAGGAAAGTAGACAAGACAAATTTCTCAGAAATTTAAGGGCAGAAGGTACACTGAATAGAACAATTACATAATTTACTGTGTGATAGCTAAAAATTAGACAAAAACATTATTCCTTGGAACAGGAAGATCAGAACCAGTTAAGGACTTCAGAACAGGAATTGCAACTCTGACCTCACATCAGTACACAGCAGTTTAGGAAAAAAAGCTTTTACATAAAAAAGACAACCTATGGCTACAATGCATTGCTTTAAGCAGTTGAAAAGAATAGAGTAATGGAACAGTGCAAAATTAAAACTAAGAGCAAATAAAAACTCAAGCTAAACAAAAAAATCACTGTCCCAGCAGCTTTTCATAAGAGTAGTTTTAAAAACATCTTTTCTCCCTTAAGCAAAATATGGTGAAAGCAGAAGATCTGTTTGTATCCAAGTATTACTTGTCTGTTTTCCAGAAGAACTAAGCCTGTATAGAGTACAGTGGACTAAGCTGTTAGGGCTTGGGACTGTTCCTGGTCTGCATACTTACAGTGAAGCAGAAACTGAGGCCAGTCCTTAACCAGGATGTCAGGGTAATAAGTGACAGTGCATCAGCGGCGTGCAGATAGTAAATACAAACAGGCAAGAAGCTGCCACATTAACATACCTCTTGTACTGAGCGAGCTGCTGGCTTGTCTTGGTGATTGGCCAATATTAAAAATGGCAAAGTACATAACTGTGGGTGCTGGAGAGCAGAATGTAGCTCGTTCCTAGCAGTTTCTAGATCATCTTCAGAGGAGGCGCTGTCTAGTACAAATATTACCCCTTGGGATCCTTGGTAGTAACGACTCCAGTATTTCCTGATATTGTCAGCTCCTTTCAAGACAATAATGAGAACTAATTAAAACAAGAATAGTTTAACAAATGTAACACTTCTAAGCAAAAATAAACCATCTACATAAAATTATCAAAACAATTAACTAAATTTTATCTCTTAACCATCATTAAAAGAATAAAAAGGAAAAAAAAGCAATAAAAATCCAACATACACATACGCACCAGTGTCAAATAAACATTGTTTAAATAAGGAAGGAAGTTGACTTAATGCAGCTTTCTTCCATTAAAGCTTGTGCTCTATTAATGAGTACTGGCATTACTACCATGCTTACAGTATCACACAGCCTAATCCTGTACCTTCTCACTGGAATATCTTGGCACTAATACCTAAATCTTTACCTATTCTTTTTCACTTTGCCCTGCAGCTCCTTGTCATAACCTGCAGCTTCTGTCATGGCAGTTGCTCATTTCTGATAAGGTCTTCTAGTTCATCTCCAAACCATCAGGCAACCACTTCATAATTGGAGAAAAAAGGTGTCAGGAAAGCCTATTAAAGTAATTAGATACTTAATGAGGAGAATGATGATACAATAGTGAGTTGAACAGTGAATGAGGAGCTATGGTGACAACATGCTGCAAAGGCATTCAGTTCAACTACTTTTGCTCTGTCAACCACACTAAGGATTCTGGAAGAGCCCAACAGCAGACACATGAGTGACTGTATAGGCTTATATGCCACAGTAATTTTTAGGACACAGTTGAGCAGCACTCAGCCATCTCAACAGAAGCCAAGCACTAAGGTTATCAACAGAAAGCTTTTGTCTCCCCTGGAGAGCAGCATATGTTGTAGCAATGAGGTAGGAAAAAAAAAATTGTATTTGACAGCTGTCAAACTATCTAAACTATGATTTGGATATGGGCTATTCTTTGTATGTCTGGATCTGGCACTACACTCATGGGGACAAACACTAAACAGTGAACAGCAGCAGCAATAGTCTAGTAGAAAACTTGACACGTCTGCCAGACAGTGACTTGCAGAAATGTGCAGAAGGTACCTTTTATAGGCACATTTCTCATTTTGAAACAGGGAGAAGTGAACTTCCATATAAACACAAGAACTAAGAGCTGAAAACAATAAAATCCTACTTTTCGGTGAAACAAAATGACACAAAATTTCTGAGCAACATAATGAGATATAATGCAACATCATGACCATAACGTTGATACAACACTTAAAATATTAATTTACACATTGTGCAACAAAAAAGACAGTCACTAAACAAAGGTGAAGGAAAAGATAAACATTTGCTCCATCAAATTTAGGTATGCAACTCAAGTGAATTCAAATCTCATCTAATGGAGTTAGTTAGTCTTGTCTTTTTATTAGTCACACTGGAACCCTGAACACTTTGTTTCTGTATCTGCACCCAGCACAAGCTGTCAACGCACAAACACACACACTTTTTCCTACAGAGAATACTTAAGTCATGCCTAATTTTTTTTTTTTTTTTTCTACAAGAGACCTACAGAGTTGCCTACTTAAAGGTAAATGGTCACTGGACCTAGTCAAGACCTTACCTAATCTCTCTGTTAATTTAACCAGACCCAAAATAACAAGGCGCAAACAGGATGAATATTTTATTATTTTATCATCAAGATCTGAAGATTGGCATTATATATACAGAAGAGGACTGAAAGCTAGTTCTATGTTTTTGTAGCACACAAATATCTGTCAACTGTACTTGTAAAGAATTTTGTAGCATGTTAGGTGCCCCAGTCTTTCTGAACAGCTGTCTACTTCAGAACCAAGTAAAGCAAGCTGCCAGAGGGACACTATTTACATAGCCACACACAGCAGTGTCACAGGCATCTGAAGTATCACATTACTTTAAAAACTAGTACAGAATCATTTTTGATGAACTTAAAGACCAAGACCATGATCAGTTCTTTGAACATATTTTTTTTTCCTAGCAACATAACATCTGTCTTATTTGCTCTAAGCATCAGTCAGCTACTTTTCAATCACATATCACTGCTAGAATCTGAGTCTTATCTTTGTAATCATACTCACTCAAAAAAGAAAAACTGTGGTGAACTGCAGAACATTTTGTATCTAGGCACTTGGAAGAAAGCAGCTCATGGATCCCTACATGGAACATTGAAGCCAGAAAAGGAGAATGCTGATTTGCTGACCTTATGGTCTGGTCTTTTTGGTTCAGGCTCTTTAGCAGCTCAACTTTGATCCTCCAGGTCAGCTGTCCCAAAAGAGTCACCACCAAAGTAAAGCAGTCCTTTTCTCTCCAGCCCTGGTCAGTCACCATGGCATAATCAAAAGAACCAACTTAGACAGTGTCCCATGAAACTTGCTATTTTCTTTGGGATCTTCCATTACTCTAATGACATGCCTTGAAATTGCTTACACTTCAATTCTGAGGCTATCACCTGAGGTTTAAGAATAAAAATAATTTGCACAAAGTAGACAAGGAAAAAAGACTGATAGAGCATGGACCTTAGGGTGCCATTTCAAACCATTTTTCTGGCAAATGCACTTGAAAAATAATTCTTGGCATCAATAAGCTATCAGCAGCTGGAAGTCACAATTTCTGCAAGACAAATAACCTGATATTCTTTTGCCTTAACTCTTCATATCCAGGGAACAGAATCTGCTGTCAGCTTCTTTCCTCAGAGTAGTGGACTGCAGTTATCCTGGAGTCATCCTGGGCAGAAAACACTAGCCTATGAATAGTGTTTCAGCCATTCGCACTTTGTGGCATGACAAATATAGCCTTGGAATGCAAGCAGTTTTAGGTGCAGTTCAGCAAAACTATTAATTTATTTTTCATCTATTGCAAAGGTTTCAAAGCCAGGAAGATTCAAAGTCTGAGGTCTTCAGAAATCCAAAATGTAATGTGCAACCATTAAACATCCTTAGGCTTTCAGAAGACTGATAAAATTAGGAATTTAACTTAACTAGTACCCAAAACATTCCAGAAAACAGTAGTAACACAGAATAAGCACTTAGATTTGTCAGCCTGTTATAACAGCTTTGAACCATATGCCTGCTTCTTCAACCAAAAAACTTCCTAAACTAAGATGAAAGAAGGAAGAGAGAGAGAGAAAGAGAGAAAGAGAGAGAGAGAGAGAGAAGGAAGAGAGAGAGAGAAAGAGAGAAAGAGAGAGAGAGAGAGAGAGAAAGAGAGAGAAAGAGAGAGAAAGAGAGAGAAAGAGAGAGAAAGAGAGAGGAAGAGAAAGAGAGAAAGAGAGAAAGAGAGAGAGAGAGAGAGAAAGAGAGAAAGAGAGAAAGAGAGAATGAGAGAATGAGAGAATGAGAGAAAGAAAGAGAGAAAGAGAGAGAGAAAGAGAGAAAGAGAGAAAGAGAGAGAGAGAAAGAGAGAAAGAGAGAAAGAGAGAAAGAGAGAGAGAGAGAAAGAGAGAAAGAGAGAAAGAGAGAAAGAGAGAAAGAGAGAAAGAGAGAAAGAGAGAAAGAGAGAAAGAGAGAAAGAGAGAGAGAAAGAGAGAAAGAGAGAACCTCCAAAACATCAGAAGAATGTAATTTACATTGGAAGGAAGGAATATACTACGTTACAGGTTCACTGAAATGTGACATTCAGGGTAGCAGCTTCCTCAAACACATGCAAGAGCCACTAAAAAAAAACCAAACCTCTCCTTACAGAAAAATTACAGAGGATGCTGCAATTAAAAACCACAACTATTTAGCATTACTACAGAACAGGTTTACTCAACTAACTATAATTTTAAAGTCCTTCATTTTTATATTTTTAAATATATATTTTATTTTTTTTATCAGCAGTCAAAGGAACAGTATGCCCTTATTAACACTGTTAATTATTTGTATCAGTGCTAACAGTACCCCTTGGAGATGGAAGGAAGATTTTGAGTTATGTGCAGTTTAACATGCACCAGTTTAACATGCATCTGAACCAGTACATACAAGCACACACTCCTGTAAATATATTATGCAAAGCACAGAACTACAAATCTTCCTTTCAGCTATGAATACTTCTATTTACATCTTCATTCACAGTGGTGGTTTGAGGCTACCTTCAATTCCCTCCTTTTCAGTACTTTCAGGATAGCAGGACATAGCATTACAAAAAAAAAAATCACTGAAAGAAATTTACATGTGTCAAATTTGTTACTTGTCAGACTTGCAACAACTCTCCATTGAGAGCACAATGAATATCACAGAGCTCTTGCTTCAACAGAGTCTAGTCTGCGAATGAAAGCTCTTGTTAGCCTCAAAACGCATCACAGGTCTGGAAAAGTTACAGTCTCAAATAGAGGGAAAACCATTTTTTCTTTCCTTCCCATCACAAGCAGTTAACTTGGGGACATGAAACAATGCAGTCCGCAAACAGCTTTTCTACCACTTCAAATATACCATCCACTCACCTACTCTGAAGGTTTTATAGTCAATTAAAGCATTATGTAGATCATTCCTCTACAGATACTAAACAGAACACTTCTAATAATCATAAAGGTGAAAAAATGCCAAGGACTCTGACACAAAATCTTTTTCTGTGTAACACTGGGTGTTATGGGTGGGGGAGTAAGAAAGAAGGGAAGGGAAAAAGAAATATCTTATCCATTCTTGCAAAATCTGTAAATATACTCTAGTCTCTCACACCAAGAAAACCGCTGGAAAATAAATGTTTCTAAAACTATGTAGGGTTTCTACCTTCACTTCACATCATATTTACCTTACAGGTAAAACTGATGCATTTTCATGAGTAGTCAAGAAGATGCCTGAAACCTTATAAATCTTAACATGTTCAAGAGATGTGGCTGCTCCTTATCTGTCTTGGGCAGGTTTCCCAGTATTCCACCCTTAAATAAATCCCATATACAGACTTGCTGTTGTTGTTGTTGTTTATGGATGCTAACTCTGATGCAGGGAGCAAGGTGCTTGTGGAAATTACAGGCCACACAGCTTTCTCAGTCTTGCCTAGGAAAATGGCCTGGGAATTCATAGGGAGGAATTAAAACAATCCTCAGAGACAGAAAGCAGCCTTGCAGGT